TTTATTAATTAATAAATTATACATCTTTACTTTAATAAAATTTTTATATGAAAAAGTAAATTTATTTATTATCAAAAGTTTTTTTATAACGAAACGACAATAAAAATTATAGCCGCAGCTCAGCTCGACTAAAAACACCTTTGCTCAAAAATAACTAAGTTCTACTATAACCAGCATTTAGGCCAGAGGTCGGACTTGCAAGAATATCAAGATTATCTTCCATTTTCAAAATTTTCAAACGATCTTCGTTATCTAACTCAACCATTGGTCGAAATATCTGTTAAATATGATCAGATCTACTTCATGTTTGACATTAAAAAATGGCCTTTTTGTCAGGACCTGTCAAATCCAAGCTTTACATTTCTTCTTCTTCTATTGCATCTCCAAAGTCACGATATGTGCAAATCATTGAGGACCATCCCTTTAACCATCGCATTGAGCTTCTATTTCCAACTCTTTTATCGCCTCAGCAGGAAAACAAATTTTTAAAAGAGACTTTTTATTATAAAGCTGATATTCCTTTGTCTTACTTTATCGAACGTTCCTTTGTGCAAGATTATTTACAAAGAGGTAATTAGGTATATTCATCTTTAAAGTTTTTAAGTGTTTAAGATAGTCCATTTATCTTTTCCTACTTCACAATAGGACGTGTTGTTGCCCAAAGTTTAGGTGAAGGCATTGATGTATCAAATGTTATCGCACTTGATGGATTTGGTCATTATTTTTAGTTAATCACAACTGATGACGTTGGCATTATCGCTGAAGTATATTGTAATAAAATTCAACCTTTTTTAAATAGGGACCCTCATTCTAAATTTAACTAAAGATACTTATGAGCAGCTTGGATTACCTGGGAAACCTGCAAAGTTTGGGCCGGATAGGCAAAGATTTGGTAACATTTCATTCCTCATTCCATAAATTTCATGCCTTATTTAATATTTTACGTATATCATTCAGTCATACAGATTAATTTACTTGAAAAATCGATGATTCCCGGAAAGAAGGGCTTCGAACGTATTAAATGGTGTTTTAATAATACATTGAGCGATCCATTTCCATTTCTTATTTCTTATGTAGATTCTGGTAATAATTCAATGATATATGTATATGTTTGCATCATTACACTTGTTTTCTGACATATTAAAAAATAGTAACGCAAGAAACACAGAAGATAACATTTCCGCCAACATTTAATGCCAAGAAACTTACAGTTGAATTGAAATTTGAGAAGTTGAATAATATCATTTTTCCAGATATGGAAGCCATAAAGACCGCATCTAATGAAGACCAACGGAGGTCTGATATTGTAGAGATTTATGATTGGTTCGGAATGGCCTCACTTCAAGCGCAAAGGTAATTATCGAAAGGCTGCACATACTGACAATTCTTAATATGATTGATCAAAATTATTGTTAAAAATATAAATAATACTATCAATTGTAACATGCTGAGTAAAATTATTTGTGGTGGTTTATGCTGAAATAGTTTGATATTGAATTTAGGGACCCGATTTAAATATATAATACCTACTAAAATCTATTTATGTTCTTTTATTATCAATTCTAGCTCTAAATCTCAACCTAATCATAAACAAAAAACACCTGAAAATTATAAATTTTCATATAAAATAAAGCAAATTTTCAGCGTCAGCTAATTTCAGCATCAGCTACCACATTATTTTGATTACGCATTTTATCTTAAACGATTATATGATTTCAGGATTAGATCGCAAGATAAAGTTGATCCTTATATATCTGTTTATACACCTCCCGGTCCATGCTTGAGCGGTAACGGATCACTATTATGCTGTACTGGGTTTATTCCTTCATCAATGATTTTGTTTTTATTTAAATCTATTTTGTACGTATTAATATACTTATTTTATAATCTCATTCAATCGTTAACTAATTGCTATTTTTATTTATAAACGTCATAGCGACCAATTTAAATCTTCAAATATTCCTTGGGTTGCTTTAAGTGTTTGGGGTTTTAAAGACTCACCAATATCATGGAAGAAGCATGAACATGGCCATTTTATGAGTGGAGAAAATCATTATAGTTTTTTATTATGGCCAGATGGTGAATATATTTTATATCAAGCACTTGGGGCTTATGATAGCTATTCGTAATTAAATCAATAATTTATGAAATTTATAATATAATATGGGGTCTTTGCCTTGAAAATCACCTTCCGACATTTCCGATCGGGTTAATTCGGACAAAAATAAACCCG